AATTGGCCCTGCTTTGAGCAGGGGGTTGTACTAGATTACCTTTTGAGGTCCCTTCCAACCCTGATATTCTATGATTCTATTCTATGACGTCACCTACCTATAAATGGCAGTACCATCTCCTGGTCTTAGGGCTCCACTAAGGAGGTAGTAAAACCTGATCTAATCTTCTGTTCATGCTAAGAGTTGCGTGTTGTTTCTTCCTTGTAGCTGTAGAATTCTATATATTCAATGAACAACCATGCTGGAGTCTATGGACGTTTTGGTCTGATCCTAAAATATAAATTAATGAGTTGGATGGCTTAAACCAGTTTGATTCCTTTAGGCATGAACCACATGGAGCATAGGGAATCATTGAGCAGCAATTAGCCCTATCAAAGTATTGGCAAAGAGTGAAAAATAAACAAACTCTTTTAAAGCGCTTGCTTTTTGTTGGATTAATGGGAAATGAAAGAATCTTAATACGCCTGATGCAAGAGCACTTGAAGTCAATGGAAAGTTTCCCATTGATTTCAAGCGACTTTGGAGCAAGCATCAGGACACTCAGGTTGGGTATTCTCACTGGTTTCATCTCTCTCTTCTCAGGAACTGTATTGGGCAGCAGTTTGCCATGATCGAGATGAAAGTGGCCATTGCTTTGTCCCTGCTACGCTTTGAGTTTTCACCCAATCCAGAGAAGATTCCCAGGAAAATACCCCAGTTGGTCTTACGGTCCAAGAATGGGATACATGTGCACTTGAAGAAAATCCACTGGCATTGACATTGTGAAATAAGTGGGCAAAATACATAAGAGATTTGTAAGTTATTTGATTATCAAATGCATTAAAAATCCCATCTTTGGGGAAAAAAAGATCTTCAGTCCCTTTGAGCCTGAAAGGTTGCTTGTTGGTCCATATATATATTTATTCTGAGCCATATGATGTCCTCCATTAAAACTGTATTCCCAAACACTTTCTGGTTACTTTAATGACAGAGGATTGATCAGCAAGGGAGAAAAATATGAATCAGATCTTCAGCCAGTGTAAATCAACCTTGCTCCACTGATTTCATCGGAGTTTAGTTGATTGATACCAGCGGGAGACTTAGGCCTATGTTACCAGATGAGATCTGAAAATTTGATCCAGTGGTCACCATTTAAAGCCAATTTCTGCAAAAAGGAACTTTGTTGTGACCTTAAAGCTTTTATTTCCTTTGCTAGGTACAGAGGGAAGCTATGGTATCTCAGACTCCTCTATGTGGCAACTCTTGGCAAATGATCACTCTTTAGTAGGGTAGAAGAGTGGACTCACTGCTGGCATGCCCCCTCATGGCTGGAGGTAGTGTTGCAGGCACTCCTTCTCTAGTTCAGTTTCACCCATTCTGGGGTAAACAAAGAGTCCAATAAAATGAACTTAGAGAAACATAACTCTTTGCTCCTAATCAGACTCACTCCTCCACGGACTCTTCACCCTTCCTGGGCTCTGCAGGATTGTACTCCTGCTCTTGTGTGGAATGACTCCCCAGGCTTTCTCTAGTTGTGTTCACAGCATGAACATAGAGAAGTTAGATAAGAACTTAAATACTCATGTTGGAAGGTTGCAATATAACTTTATGTTCGTAGAATTCAGAACCATAATGCAAAACAACCAATAAACAGAGAGACAAAGCAGGCTGCTCCCTAAAACAGAGAGGCACAACTCACCCCACCCTATTCTAGCTCTCTGTCTGCAGGCAGACGGCTTCAGGCCCAGATTGCACACTTCCCACCAGGCCCCATAGCCTGCAAGCAAAACCAGGGACCCGCCTTGAGAATTTAAAGTGATAGATCACAATTTTAACACACTTTTCAATCCACCACACTCCTCCCCTGTACATTCCTCAAACACAATTTTTAAAAATCACAAATTTAACCTTAGAGGAGGTTGGTGATTTCGCTGAGGCCAGTGGTGCCTGCCAGGGAGAGAAAGTGACACCTGACCTTTGTCCTGTTTGTGTCACCCCCAAAAGAAGCACTATCCCTCTCCCTCTCTTGGCCACCATCTCCAGTGCCTTCTCCTCCTCCTCTGGCCAACAAAAGCTACATCCATCCTTACTAATGTCAGGGGCTGCATTCTGTAATGGTACTGAGGTTCTTTCTGGTAACAGTTATCAAAGGGCCTCTTCATTATCTCCCATTTTACCTCTACCAGATATGTCTCTAGTCCCAGTATCTGCTTTACTGCTTTTCCCCCACTTCTTCCCTCCCATGTGATTTTGCACCAACACTGTCTGTCATCAGCAGAAAAACCTGGTAGGTTTTTTCACTCTTTGCCATCTTTTGTTGAGTGCTTTCTACAGGTCGGGTCTAAATCAATCAAATTTAGTACGTAACTAGCATTTTAAAAACAAAGCTGCTGGAGTCTTCTGCGTGGCAGGCTGTGGGGTAGACCTATATGAGAGTAGGGAATTTGCAATGCAGTGTGTCAGGGGACTCCATTCAGTTTTGTCTAGTGCTTGTTTTAATGTCTGCACAACACTCTGTGCCAATCCAGGTGATGCTGGGTGGTAGGTAGCACACCCAATACGTTTCACTGAATTTTGCTGTGGGAATGTCTGAAAATCCCAGAAATAACCTGTGGACTGTTATGTGAGGAGTTCCTCAGGTAACCCATAAGTGGCAAATATTGCAAAGCACGTCAGTTGTTTATTACAGAAGAGGTTTTAAATCATGTGCCTCACCTCTGGCCACCAAGAATAATCATTAACCACTATGACATATATTTGCTTATCTTTTTCTGCAAAGCCAATGCACAGCTGCGGCCAGAGTGACAGTGTCTCCTCTGGCATGTTCCTATGGCTATAACGGGAGTCGCACTGGCTACTTAATCTAAAGCCGGCCACCAAAAACAATTTCTGGCCATCCCTTCCATATGTATTAACCCTCAGTGCTGCTCGTGTCATTCCACCAGCATCCTTTTCTGTACACATATTGGCATTATCGCTTGTATTCCCCATAGCAAACAACCCTTCTGCATGGCTTCTTGAAATAGTAACGGCTAAGTTGCTCTTTGGTTATGTGATTTGGCCAGTCCCAAGTGTGGTGCATCATCTTAACCAAAATCACCTTTTTGTCTTGTTTACAGAGCAACTTCCTTAGCTGTAATAGGGAGGTCATCTAGGAAAGAGACTCTGTCCATGGAATTTTCCTCTATATGTTTCCTTGTGTGCAAGGGCAAACAGGGCAATGCATCTGCATTCGCATGTTTTTCGGATGGTCTATAATATATCCCAGTTTAGTGCAGCTAAGATCACCCCCCCCTCTTTGAAGTCTAGCTGCCGCTAGTGGTGGAATGCCTACACCTGGGACCATTATTTTTACCAGTGGTTTATGATCGATAACAAGGGTAACTTTTTTTCCAAAGAGGTACTCATGGAAATTAATAACCCAAGTCTCTTTTTCTATCTGTGAGTATTTTTTCTTGACCTTTGACAATGTTCTGGGAACAGATGTTATGGGTTTTTCACTCCCATCTTTACAAAGATGTGAAACAAAAACCTTAATTCCTACAGGAGACACATCACAGGTTAGCATTGTGGGAAGCTCCGGATTAAAATGTACCAATAGGCTGGCACGACTTAGTTTCTTTTTTGCTTTCTCCAAAGCCTTATTTTCTTTTTCTGTCCAAACCCACTTCATATTTCTCCATAACTGGGCAGACATCGGACTGGTTACTGTTGATAAGTTTGGAATGAACCTTCCATAATAGTTTTAACGTCGCCTGAAACGATCTAAGCTCTGAGACATTACATAGCCTAGGGGCATTCTGAATGGCTTTTGTACATAACAGGTGTACTCCTGCATCTAGAAAATGGCTGGATGAAGTAACCCGGCTTTGGAAAAAAGCATACTTAGCTTTAAAGCCATGTTTTTACAAGCTCTTTAGAACCCCCTCTAGGATTTTTAAATGTTCCTCTGACATAGCACACAAAGGTAACAAAATCCAAAGGTTGGCAGTGGAAGCTAGACTGGAAATTAGGTGTATCTTTTTAACAGTAAGGGTAATTAATCATCAGAACAATTTACCCAGACTTGTGGTGTGTTCTCCAGCAGCCAATTTTAAAATCAAGATTGGATTTTTTAAAAACAAGATCTGCTGTAGGAATCATTTTCGGGAAATTCTCCGGCCTCTGTTATCCAAAAGGTCAGACTAGACGATCAGAGTGGTCCCTTCTGGCCTTGGAATCTATGAATGAATGTGTCATCGAAATAACAGGAAACACCATTTACCACCGGCACTAACTGATCCATTATTTTTTGAAACATAACACGGGCACCAGCTATCCCATAGGATAATATTTCATATCTAAATAGCACCTTATGTGTCTTCATTGCCCACATTTCTCTTAATCTAACTCCAATGCCATCTGCAGGTCAGCCTGAAACAAGTCTAGTTTAGTAAACGTCACTGCCCCTGTCAGCTTTGCAAATAAATCTTGTGGTTTAGGAACTGGATATTGGTCCAATTCCAGCCAGGGGGATATGGCGCATTTATAGTCCCCACAAACTCTTATGCTGCCATTACCCTTTGGGCTACATACAAGTGGTGCATCCCATTTGCTGAACTCCACAGGTGAAATGATGTCCTGCTTGTGCAATTATTCCAGTTGGAGTTAGATGACATAAAATACTCTTGCTGGAAGGTTGCAATGTAACACTACTTTGTTTCTTAGGATTCAGAATGATACCCCAAAAGAGAGAGAGAGAAAGCAGGCACAACTCAACTCAACTTACCTCACTCTAGGATGGCTCTCTGCAAGTTGCTTACTGAAAGACCCAGATCATATGCTTCCTATAAAGGCCCCTAGCCTGCAAACAAGGCCAGGAAAACCCCATAGAACTTAAAGTGATAGATCACAGTTTTAACCCAGCTACAACCTCAATAATAAGGTTCCAATCTAGCTAGCCCCTAACATAATGAAGATATATCAAAGATGGGTCTGATCCACAGTGTATTGACATCAATGGGAAGTCTTGCTAATGACTTTAATGGCCTTTGGATCAATTCCTATCTACATAGACCTCCGTGAACTAAACAACCAGTCACCGGCTCTTCTCACTATTGTATTTTGAATGTGCCAAATCCTTTAGTCCCTGTGAGGAAACCAAGTACCAAATAATTGTCCGTTGTCTTCCCTGTGGACTATTTGAATGTTAATTTCCTGGGAGGGAATCTTCCTTCAGGTGAAGGTCATGCCTTTAGTCAGGCAGAAGGAAAATGAAGATTATGCCAGGAGCCTGTCTGATCTGAATGACAAGCACCGATGATCTTTTTCGCTCTTCGGAGGAAGGACTATCTCTAACGATGTGTTTGTGCAGCTCCTCGCACAATGGCGCCACAGCTTGGCATGGGAAATAAATAATAAGAATGACAACAATGGTGGAGCATTCCTCCAGGAACCTTGTAAATTACACAGGTGAGTTAAAGTGGCACAGACTTACTCTTTTAAAAGATGACCAGCTTCAAGACTGTGGACACACAGCACTTTGTATCCTTTTAATTCTGTTACTCCTCCCACTTTCTTTAAGAGGCCCAGTAAGGAACTCCCTCATCAAATACATTTTACTCAGATCAGGCACATTCCTAGTAAAAGCATCCAGGTTTCCCCTTGCAATGTGAGATTAAACCCTCTCCCCATCTATACCTGCAAGAGGACTACTTGGAACCTTATTTGGCAAGGAGAGATGTCCTTAAATAATTTTAAAAAAAGGTCTTGGGCTAACCGGTAACTATCACAAAATATAATTTAATGTGCAAGATGTCACACCAACGTTAGTAAATAGAACATCTGTATCACTTGATGGTGCTGTGTACAGAAGTGTTTTAAGAATAAGAAGTGTGATATAGCAGCTAAATATTATTATATATTGAAGAATTCAGTCCGTTGTGTATTTGT